AGACCCCGACGCTTGCCCGGAGCTTTACGCCACAATGATTGAGCTCCGAACACCACCAACCGTCTAGGGCGCCCAAGCACCCAAGAGGAACAAGCTCAAGGGCACCAAGCACCCAAGAGTAATAAGCTTCTCAAACTTCACTTCCACGTATCACCGTGGAGAACTCAAACCGATGCACCAAATGCAATGGCAAGGGCACACGGAGTGCCCAAGTCCTTCTCTCTCAAATCCCACCGAAGCAACTAATGCTAGGGAGGAAAATGAGAGGAAGAACAAGAAGGAGAACACCAAGAACTCCAAGATCAAGATCCAAGGGGTTCCCCTCACATAGAGGAGAAAGTGATTGGTGGAAATGTGGATCTAGATCTCCTCTCTCTTTTCCCTCAAAAACTAGCAAGAATCCATGGAGGGATTGAGAGTTAGCAAGCTCGAAGAAGGTCAACAATGGGGGAAGAACACGAGCTCAAAGGATAAGGTTCAATGGGGAAGAAGACCCCCTTTTATAGGACCTCCCGAATCCAACCGTTATGTGCTCAGGTCGTGCACAAGCGGTACTACCGCTTGGAGGAGCGGTACTACCGCTTAGCACGCTCAGAACAGCCCAAACGAGAGAGAAAACACGAGTTTTTGGTCCGGGGCGGTACTACCGCTTAGGAGCCACGGTAGTACTGCTCTGGAGCGGTAGTACTGCTCAGAAGCCGCGGTAGTACCGCTCTAGAGCGGTAGTAAAAAATTACATCCGCTCTAGTCGCGGTAGTACCGCTGCAGCCTTCACCAAAACAGCCACAACTTTTGCAAACGGACTCCGAATTCGATGAAACCAAGTTTGTTGGAAAGCTAGCGACAAGAGCTAACACAATCTTGAAAGAAATACCAATAATAAGCAAATGAGAAAAGGCCCAAAAGAAAATGGTGAGAACCCTTCCTCGGAGAAGACCGGTAAAACCTCCAACATCGAAAACATCATAGAAGACGCATGCAAACTCCGTTTTCGATGAACTCAAGCTTGTCATAAAGATGACCATAAGCTCTAAGACTCACAAAGAGAATCAAACAAGAACCAAGAAACATGATGCAAGGATGCAATGGTTTGAGCTCTCGACGAACGATACGATCAAGCTACTCACTTGAGAGCCCCCCTTGATAGTACGGCTATCGATCCTATAACCTGGTCTCCCAACTACCACCATGAGACCGGTAAAATAGAAAACCTATCAAGGGCAAACCTTTGCCTTGCACATGGTCCACTTGAGCTAGATGATGACGATCTTGACTCCCTCAAGTTGGACCACCTTTCTTGATTGCATTGGCTCGATGAAGACTAGATGATTGCTCCCCCATAGTCCACTATGGGTGAGCGACTCTTCGGCACATCTTCACAAGTCCATTGACACCACAATGGATGGCAAGATTCAAACTTGATTGCTCCCCCATACTCCATTATGGGTGAGCCACTCTTTGTGTTGCTCCACTTGAACTTGCACACTGCAAACTTGATGACGATCACCACTTGATGTCATCCTCCATGGGTTGTATGGGATCTTCCTCTTGACGCAAGACCATGGAAACATACCTAACCCCACAAAGAACTCTCACGTAGACCATGGGTTAGTACACAAAGCGTAATGGACAATGCTTACCATATCATGGGAACACTTGGTCCCACTCGGTACATCTTCTATGCTTTGTGAGTTGATCAACTTGATTCACTCTTGACTTAGTCTTGATCAACCTTGAATCTTTCCAACTCTCTTCATTTGGATGATGTATTAAAGGTAAATATGAATGATCACACAATCTTCTTCTTCAAGACATGCTTGCAATAAGCTCAACACTTACATGACCAATCTTTGGATAATTCCTTAATAGCACCTTGGTCAACCCATAAACTCCTTGAAACCAACACATGGACTTCAAGAAATGCCTATGGAAACATCCTTCAAATATAACTCGATGCAACCATTAGTCCATAGAGAATGTCATCAATTACCAAAACCACACATGGGGGCACCACATGTCCTTTCACCTGCGCCGGTAGAACATCATCATCGTCACCACGCCGTCGTGCTGACGGAACTCATCCCCGACACCCTGCTGGATCGGAGTCCGGGGAACGTCATCGAGCTGAACGTGTGCTGAACACGGAGGTGCCGTACGTTCGGTACTTGGATCGCTCGGATCGTGAAGACGTACGACTACATCAACCGCATTGTCATAACGCTTTCGCTTTCGGTCTACAAGGGTACGTGGACAACACTCTCCCCTCTCGTTGCTATGCATCACCATGATCTTGCGTGTGCGTAGGATTTTTTTTTGAAATTACTACGTTCTCCAACAGGACATAGAACTGACCAACAACCCCATACAGGCCTAGTTGCACGTGGTGTTTGGGGTTCTCCAATTGCAATCGGGGTTACAACGCTTCTAGTTGCAACTCTAGTGGTGACATGCAACTGCCCGACCAAAAAAACTTACTAACCCTAGTTGTAGTCGCATTGAGGGGAATGCAGTTGCAATCAGGTTACAACACTTGCAGTTGTAAATCTAGTGGTAGACATGAATCTGGCCAACAACCCCCCTACCGCCCAAGTTGCAGCCGTTTCGATGTGCCTCTGGACTGTGCTCCAATATGGTGGCGCCCTTATGTCGGTGGAGAAGGACGCCTTCTGGACTGTGCTACAATACTTCTGTAGTCTTATGCCCCACAAAGACACATCAAAAACAAAAGTAAGGCAATTTTCATACTTGACGGGATAGTTGATCTTCTTGCTACTAGCCAATGTTGTGTTGATGGAGTTCCTCATAGGTTTGTCCACCGAGTGCTCAACGCAGTTGCGGAGGAGCTTATCGACGATCTTTTTGTTGCGCTGTGACACCGCGACCACGATGTCGAGCTTATTTTGGAGGATCCACCCCATTTGCTCCGTCTTGAGGAAGACCGGGAGCCCCAGATTTGCGCCAAAATTTTAAAGGAGTTGAAGCACACATCTGTGTGGTTAACCTTGCCGTCATAGTCCGCAAAAATCACATCGTTGTTCCTATAGTACCACGGACCAACCTGAAGCACCTGTTGTCGGTCCGTCTCCTGTATGAATGTGATGACGAAGCGGCCATCATTGCTGGTGACAGGCTACGACACAACCTGTCTTCGAAGACGCCACGGGCTTCTCGGTGCGTTGACAATGGCCTCATGGTCTTTTGGGTATGGGGAGAGCGCATGCCCCACCACTAGCTTCCCCTCCACTGCGCGCATAGCCACATCCATGTCGATGACGATTGGATTGTCTTCCTCGTCCGAAGACACCACTAGCTTGTCCTTGCCATACCGACACAAAGCCGGTGGAGCAACCCGTATCGAAAACCCGATGGTGGCATCTTGGGTAGTGGCCAATGCGAAGCACATTCGGGCAACCAATGCCTCCCATCTGCACAGGAGGAGTGGCCAGAACCGTAGTCAGCGCCATGGTTCCTGGAACTCTTGTTGGCGGTCCTCTAACCCGCTGCCACGTCGGAGGAGCCACCGCCAGCACTTTGAGACGCCCTCTTCCTGAAACCAGAAGCAGAGGAAACAAAGAGCTTATGGACGACACGTAATAAAATGACATTGAACGGGTCTTCCCGAGGCAGGCCTCTGTTTCGTTCTTTAAATTCCTTGCTTTCTTGCGGCAACAAAGATCCTGCCTAAATCTCACCCCCAGACAGCCGCAATTAACACCAGACATCAACTTAGCCAACGTTGCAGAAGTTAGGGATTTTACCCGCTTGTATTCGGGACGTTTTGAACTTTGAATAAAATCCATGGTTCACCTAAGAAAAGAACTAACTTTTTTTTTGTAATTAAAAAAAAACCATGACGGTGAAAGTTGTAACCATGCATGCATCAGCAAGTGTTGGGGCCTGCTGTTACTGTCATGACGAACGTGCTCAAGCCCGAAGGTGAACCTGTCCGGCTCCAGTGCGCCCTGGCGTCTTGCTGGGACCAGCAGTGGACGGGTCTGCATCTAGGAAGCTATAGGCCTATAGCTACATCCATGGAGGCAAACAGGCTGAGGCTAGTTGGCCAACTTGGTGTCCGGGCGCTGGACCACTGGTCCTGCCATCTTCTACTCTCGTTTTCTGCGAGGGGAGCTGCACCTGCATCCACTCTCGTGTGAGGGGAGCTGCCTCTACTTAAGGCCGGCCGTGCCGGCAAGAACAGACGCAGACCGGAGCTTGGCAGACGGAGCGCACCATGCCGACGCTTGCAGAGGGAAATGGCGGGAGCGGGAAGACGGTGTGCGTCACCGGCGCCGGCGGGTACATCGCGTCGTGGCTCGTGAAGCTCCTCCTCTCCCGCGGCTACGCCGTCCACGGCACCGTCCGCCACCTCGGTACGTACGTGCCCGGCCGTGTCAGCGTGTCATAACTCATAACCGGCCAGCGAGTGACTTCTGATCCTGTTTCAGGCGAGGAGAAGACCGGCCATCTGAGGCGGTTAGAGAACGCTTCCGAGAACCTCAGGCTCTTCAAGGCTGACCTCCTTGATTACGACGCAATGGCAGCTGCCATCGTGGGATGCCAGGGAGTTTTCCATGTCGCCACTCCCGTTCCTTCGGGAATCCTAGCCGATCCAGAGGCAAGCAAGTTTCATAACTGAAGAAGTGTCCGTATGCATCAATCATTCCCTACTAGTTTTTCATCTCTTCCTTTCATGCACAACCGTGCAGCTACAAATGTTGGGCCCTGCTGTTACTGGCACCACGAATGTGCTCACGGCCGCCTCTGCCGCGAGTGTTGAGAGAGTCGTCGTCGTCTCATCCATGGTCGCCGTCGAGATCAACCCCAAAGACTGGCCCCAAGGTAAAATCAGGGATGAGAGCTGCTGGTCGGACAAAGAATTTTGCAGGAGCAACGAGGTAATCACTAACCAGCTTGGCAATCAACTGTACCATCGCTGTAATGATCAGAAATTTTTATAGGCTCCAACCTTGACTATGTCATTTTGCCATGCATATATGCAGAGCTGGTACCCAGTTGCTAAGATCGCGGCGGAGGCGGCGGCACTCGAGTACGGGCGGGAGACCGGGCTCCGCGTGGTGACTCTGAATCCGGCGCTGGTGTTCGGTCCCCTGCTCCAGCCGACCATCAACACGAGCAGCCAGTTCCTCATCTACTTCCTCAAAGGTTTCAGCCGCCAACCAAACTCGTAACAGTGCGCTGCGCATGCTCTGTTTCCGTTGCTTGATTCCTTGTGTGTTGGTGGTGGTGCAGGAGGCCCTGACGAGACGAGGGACAAGCTGTGGCACATCGTCGACGTCCGCGACGTCGCCGACGCGCTGCTCCTGCTCTACGAGGCGCCCGAGGCCTCGGGCAGGCACATCTGCGCGCCCCACTTCATCACCGCCCGGGGGCTGCTGGGCCTGCTCAAGAGCATGTACCCTGGGTACCCCTGCATAGCCGAGTAGAACTTCTGATCGCCCGCAGATATATCATATACGTATTGTTTTCGGCAGCGTGTAAGCTGAGGCTAACGGGTAATTCCATCCTTGGGTATTTGGCAGGGAGAGCATACGTGACATGGATCACCCGGCTCCGATGACCTCCGGGAAGCTGGAGAAGCTGGGGTGGAGCTCCCGGCCACTGAGGGAGACGATCACGGACACCGTCGAGTTCTGCCGGGAGGCCGGGTTTCTTGAGGACGCGGATGGTGATGATACGCCCTGCCGCTTCCCCCCTCTTCTCAACAAAGTCTAGACCACAACTTTCCCAAGAACTTTGGGGGTCGCCACTCGCGAACAAATAAGGATACGAATGAAAGACGGCAAATTCTCTGTTCAAGCACCCCGAGTGTTAACCCTCCGCCTTGCTAACTAGCTCGTGGGCCACGCGGCTGGTTTCACACACACAATGCTCAAAAGGAACATGACCAAAATTATTAAAATTTTCAAAAGTACGCATAGACGTATCATATCTTTATAAAAGGAAGAATTTACAGTTACAAGAAAGCAAACACTCGATGCGAACAATGAGCGTAGCATAGGCACCACAACTGACAAACCCGAAGACAAACAACAACACCCAGCAAGCTACAACTCAAAAGAGCCTATCCTGAACTGACACAAAGCACCGAAGACCAACAACTTCCACAGAGTTTCTCTTGTTGACGCACCATCCATCCTTATCGCCTGATAGAAAGTGAAAGATGAATGGCAGGACGCGATCCGCTCCGAAAAGGCACCGTCTTGGATGCACCGGCGGTGAACATACATAGCGCCACTGATGATCAAAAACAGGACCGTGGCGGACACCGAAGGAGAGCAACGAGGGGCCAGCCTTGTCTCCAAACACAATGCTCCCAATAGAGGAGCGACGTCGAGGACGCCGCCATCATGCCAATCCAAACATCGAATCGAGGCCTTCGCCCGAAGACATCCACCAACTCCAGGAGCACGAAGGAAATGGCGAACACAGTCGGCGACGCCTCCAAAGCGGGAAATGACATCACGGGTGCCATCATCGCCGGACCGGCAGAAGCAGTGAAAGATTTTCATCCGCACGTCGCCCATCACCCCGTCTCCATGGGCTTGTGTGACGCCCCCGATTCAATCGTACACTAATCATGCACACAAATGTGTACGATCAAGATCAGGGACTCACGGGAAGATATCACAACACAACTCTACAAATAAAATAAGTCATACAAGCATCATAATACAAGCCAGGGGCCTCGAGGGCTCGAATACAAGTGCTCGATCATAGACGAGTCAGCGGAAGCAACAATATCTGAGTACAGACATAAGTTAAACAAGTTTGCCTTAAGAAGGCTAGCACAAACTGGGATACAGATCGAAAGAGGCGCAGGCCTCCTGCCTGGGATCCTCCTAACTACTCCTGGACGTCATCAGCGGGCAGCACGTAGTAGTAGGCACCTCCAGTGTAGTAGGGGTCGTCGTCGACGGTGGCGTCTGGCTCCTGTACTCCAGCATCTGGTTGCGACAACCAGAAAGAAAGGAAAGGGGAAAAAGGGGGGAGAAAGCAACCGTGAGTACTCATCCAAAGTACTCGCAAGCAGGGAACTACACTACATATGCATGGGTATATGTGTAGGGAGGCCATATCAGTGGACTGAACTGCAGAATGCCAGAATAAGAGGGGGATAACTAATCCTGTCGAAGACTACGCTTCTCGCAGCCACCGTCTTGCATCAAGTAGAAGAGAGTAGATTGAAGTCCTCCAAGTAGCATCTCCAAGTAGCATCTCATAGCATAATCCTACCCGGCGATCCCCTCCTCATATCCCTGAGGTAGAGCGACCACCGGTTGTATCTGGCACTTGGAAGGGTGTGTTTTATTAAGTATCCGGTTCTAGTTGTCATAAGGTCAAGGTACAACTCCAAGTCGTCCTGTTACCGAAGATCACGGCTATTCGAATAGATTAACTTCCCTGCAGGGGTGCACCACATAGCCCAACACGCTTGATCCCATTTGGCCGGACACACTTTCCTGGGTCATGCCCGGCCTCGGAAGATCAACACGTCGCAGCCCCACCTAGGCAAAACAGAGAGGCCAGCACGCCGGTCTAAACCTAAGCGCACAGGGATCTGGGCCCATCGCCCATAGCACACCTGCACGTTGCGAGGGCGGCCGGAAGCAGAACTAGCCCCCTTAATACAAGAGCAGGCTTACGTTCCAATCCGGCGCGCGCCGCTCCGTCGCTGACGTCTGAAGTGCTTCGGCTGATACCACGACGTCGGGATACCCATAACTACTCCCACGTAGATGGTTAGTGCGTATAGGCTCGTAGCCAGACTCAGATCAAATACCAAGATCTCGTTAAGCGTGTTATTATGAAGCAACCGCGGACGCCGACCAGGGCCAGGCCCACCTCTCTCCTAGGCGGTCTCAACCTGCCCTGTCGCTCCGCCACAAAGATCCACACAGAGGGCCGTCGGGACAAAGGTCCTTTCAGCCCCCAATCCGTGAATCACTCGCGGGTACTCTTCGAGCTGACCCGACTTTAGTCACCATCTGTATAGTATGTATGTATGTATGGTATATACCCGTGATCACCTCCCAGGTGATCACGGCCCGATAGTATAGCAAGGCAGACTGACAAGAATGTAGGGCCAATGATGATAAACTAGCATCCTATACTAAGCATTTAGGATGGCAGGTAAGGTATCAACAGGTGTAGCAACAATGTCAGGCTATGCATCAGAATAGGATCAACGGAAAGCAGTAACATGCTACACTACTCTAATGCAAGCAGTATAGAGTAGAATAGGCGATATCTGGTGATCAAGGGGGGGCTTGCCTGGTTGCTCTGGCAAGAGAGAGGGGTCGTCAACTCCGTAGATGAACTGGGCAGCAGCAGCGTCGGTCTCGTAGTCTACCGGAGAGAAGAGGGGGAAGAACAATGAATACCAAGTAAACAGATGCATATCGATGCATGACATGCCAAGAAGCGATGCTAGGCGTGCTCTAACGTGGTATGAGGTGGTACTGGTTAAGGGGGGAATCATCCGGAAAAGTATTCCCGGTGTTTCGTGTTTTCGGACAGATGAACCGGAGGGGAAAAGTTGCGAGTTCGATAGGTTAGGGGTGTGTGGCGGACGAACGGACTGCGTATCCGAAATCGTCTCGTCGTTCTGAGCAACTTTCATGTTGAAAAAATTTTAATCCGAGTTACGGATTAAAAGATATGATTTTTAAAAGATTTTAACAATTTTGGAATTTAATTATTTATTTAATTAATTCGAAAAATGGATTTATGACGTCAGCATGATGTCATGCTGACATCAGCAGTCAACAGAGTTGACTGGTCAACCTGACCAGTGGGTCCCACTGGTCAGTGACACATTTTAATTAACAGATTAATAAAACTAATCATAATTAATTAAAGGGGTGGGCCCCACTGTCATACTAATTAATTAGCTAATTAACAGTAGTTAATTAAGTTAATTAATCATTAGGTTAATTAATTTTAATTGGTTAATTTAATTAGAAATAATTAAGTTAATTAATTAGTTAATTAATTAATTTCATGATTTATTTATTATTATTATTATTTTCTAATTATTTTTATTTTATACTTTTTTTATTTTTATTTTATCAAAATGTTCTCTGGGCGGGGCCCACTTGTCATTGGCCCCGGGGCGGGGCCCAACCACCAGTGGCTCCAGGGGCCTAATGGGGCGGGTCGGGCACTGGCGCCCGACAGGGCGCCCGGGGGCGCTGGCGAGGCGTGAAGCGGGGCGAGGCCGCGGTGGTGCACGGGCGGCCGTGGCCGTGGCCAAAACGGCGGCGCGACGGGGCTAGACGGGCAGCACGGTGGCGTACGCGCGCGGGACGAGTTCCGGCGCCCAGAGGCGTTGCGCGCGAGCATCGCCGGGCCGTGCGGGGAGGCGGAGGG